GAAGAGCTTCGCTATGAAGATAGGATGTACATTCTAGCTTTGGTGAAGTTTTTATTTTGATAGTGATCATAGCCTCATGTGGAGTTGAATTGTGCACATTGATGTGTGATTCTAGTGGAATATTGTATGTATAAGCTTGTCTAAAAAACATAGTTGAGATCCAATATAAACGTCAATTATTTTTATTTTATTTTATTTAAATAAAACTTCGAACTAATTGATTATTTTGTGTCAAAATCAAATATTAACATGATATATATAGTTATAATTACTTCCAAAAAATTGATAATAAATATCTATATCATGTCAATTTTTAATTTTGACATACAATTATCAATTGATTATAAATAGAGATTCATATTTATAATAGATTAAAATAAATCTCACACTTTACATATTGCAATTTCCAAACCTCCAAATTTCCAAACTTTAAACTTCTTTGGTTTTACAGAACTTGGTATTTTATATACCCAGAAAACTTTTTGTCATGAACTAAGCGTTTAACCTGCAGCGTAAGGATAAGGATGAAGTTTCAAAACTCAAAGCTTTTTTTTCATTTTCTTCAAAGCATAGCATAAAAAAACGTCAACACTAATAAATTTTTTAATTTATTGTTTTTTGTGGATAGCATAATGGAAATAAAAAAAATTATATAAAAAATCAGAGGGTTTTCGATATAAACCGGAACGCGAATACGGTAGTGTGGAGACAAATTCAAATTTGGATCTTGACATGTTGATGTTTTCTAACGACGATTGTGGGTCAGTACGTGCAAGCATCGTGTATAAAATCATGCCACACGGCTTCCGAAGCTGGAGATAAACTTCAGCGATAAAACCTTCAAGGATAAGCTTCACCTTCACAATTGAAGTTCACACAATTCTGCGAGCCCTTCTCCACTTCCACCTTTTTTAAGGGCATAATGACGTGCAGCAGGAGCCAGATACCCAATGAAATCTCTTGCTTTTCTGATGATATTCGGAGCTGTCCTGTGCCATATTGGTAGACTTTCAGCGTGGCCTCAGAAAGACTGCAGAGAAGATTGTTGCTCTTCTTTGGCTTTGTAAGTTTGATGCGTGCCAAAATGTGTTCTATTTCGCTCGGGATGACGAAGGATTCCATCATATACTTCTTACAAACAAACCTAGGATAATGATCAAGCGCATGTTCTTTGTAGTCCATGTAGATCTTTGAAAACTGGGTAAGGCAAACAGTAGTGCTATAGACGTTCCGTAGTCTCCTGAGGTACGAGCGAGGACATTTGTTCCTAGAATCTTCACATTGTCTCACCAGACAAAGCACTAGGTGGGAGTAAATAACTGTTGGTTTGTGTTCAGCTGTCGTCACTAATTCCAGTGAATTTAGATAAAAGGTTCCTTGAAACCTGACAGTAGCTCCACTTTGTCTGCGTCACGCGTGCTGAAGTTGGCACGATTATATAAGCACGTGCATCTGATACCGACTTATTAGAGATGTACGTGCCCAGAGAGTCAGTACAGAACACGATCTGAAAGCCATAATGTTTAATAGGACACTATTCGGACGATTTGAATATCCGTCAGCGAAATCGAAATATTCAATCTCGATGCAGTAGGGGCAGCCAGATGTGCCATCTCTTTATCTTTAGCTGTCTTCATAAGATATCTTCAATCGAGAAACAGAGTACAGATGTAGTGCTGAATACCAGATGGAGCTACAGTTGAGAGAACACCAACAGACGGACTCATCTCGGTTATTGTGGTTGCCTTTCCTCAAACGGTACTTTTCACTCTAGTATGTCCGTGAAGTATTGGCGCATACAGGTTAACAAGTTGGAATTTCCATCCAAAGGTGGTACAATTTCTATGACATGAAAATAGGTGTGACTACGAGACATTCAAGTTGACGATCACATAGAACCTTTATTATGGCTGCGCTGTTTTCTGTGAAGAAATATGCGATGACCAGGGAGGTGCTAGTTATCACTCACGTGGGCTAATTAGCCCTCACTTTACTAGAAGCTCTTCTTTCATTGGTGGAACACTCTATTTTAGAAATAGTTGCTACTAACCCTATAACCTTGCATTCACCAATTCGAGAAGTGTATCAACCAATCAGAATAGAATGTATAATAGAATGAGTATTAATTAACCCTAAGCGAGGATAACTAGTCGATCCCGATGACTATTGGTTCAGTCTTATGAGCCGTTGGTATATGTGATGCGTGGTACTCTTTGCTCGTATTCGTAACACCATAGAATTGATGGACATGGACATCTTTGTTCCGTAGAAATTATGCGGCGTAGCTCAACTAGCTAATGGAACCTAGCTAGAAGAATCTGCCGGCTAGGAATATTCTTACGCAAAATGAGATCATCACTTGATAAAGTCGTACGAATGTAACAGGTAATATTCGTTTTGAACCGTACAACTAGATGCAAATAATCCTAAAATTGAAAATGGAAAATCTCCACTGAGCTCTGCATCGTTACCAAATTGTGGATACAACCATTCGTGGGGATGTCCAGTCACACGAGAACAGTAGTCGATAGATGGAATGTCCAGCTGATTTCTAATGAAGTTGAATAATACATACACTAAAAAACCAAAAGAATCTCGAATTTGCGCACAAGGCTACCAATCACATAATTATCAGCGAAGAAGCGATGGTATCGAGAAGAGGTACATACATGCACGTGACAAAGATTGGAATCTAAGGGTGCACGCCCTATGCCATATGTAACCTGATTACTTGGCCTATCGTGATGTCCGTATCGTTGAGCAGTGAAATAAACCGATAGATCTTCAGATGTTGCAGGTCGTCGTCCTTCCAACGTTGACCTCTCAGACTGGCGCTATAGCAGTCATGTGAGAAGTCGCCCCCGAAATCCGGATGAATTCCAAATGATACACACGTTTCCGAAAGTGTTCTCATACATAGTGACTTCTCGTAGAAGCTGAGGCAGTGCCCCCGTCACCACATTCGAAAACGAGCACGACCTCCACGAAAGTTCAAATTTGTGGCTTCTGAGAGAGGATGCTAATGTTCCCATTGCGAGACAAGAAGCACAAGTTTTCAAAGTGTAGATGAGACGGCAAGTGAGAAGATTTGAGAATTTGAGAGGAGGAAAATTATGAGTTACCCGAAGCGGAGTCAAAACACGCATCAAACAAGAAAAACAAGTGACGGCAAGTACAAGTTAAGACTGCAAGAGTTTTGACACAGCAGATGAATTTGCAAGTGAGTATAATTTCTATTCCCACAACTGCGACACTAGGAGAGTAGATTCCTTCGGTTTAATTGAAGATGGATTCGAGCCATCACTATGTGGGAGCTTGGGTTTGCGGATGACGCTGCAGAGTCAATGAATGGCAGCCTTCTCTTCGTAATGCGCTACACCATTCACGGACTTCCGTGAGATTCACAGTCGATCACGCACTATGTCGATGTAACGATAACTCACGTACAAGTCCTGTTTCCGCACACACGTAGACTCCATAATTGTAGCTGTGTCCATGCAAATGTCCGAGCAGCCAGCGAGCATCAGCGAGCATCCGGACAAATCAGATGAATTCGCTAGAGCAAGGAGGACGTGTGCATGGGAAATTAGCAGATCGACGCTCATGAGAAGTACGAATCCAGAGAACTGGGACTCGCAGACTGGCGCAGATTACGATCTGTACTCGTACTAATTCGTACTAACTTTACCGCATGTGAGAACTTCCTGTGCACTGATATTGTCGCAATGTCCACTTCGATCGTTATAGTGTGCTCAATACAGACAACTTGCAACACGTCGAAGAGCCGGCAACTAGACAGGCGGCCGCCGACAAAATGTCCAAAACAATGGGGAGTTCAGGACGTAAATGCAGTGCATGCTGATGCTTCGACTACTGTTTGACAGTACGTGGGGAGCCCATGCAGTGGTGTACCGTATTCGACCCTGTCATCATGACCTCGGAAAGACGCTAATTCCGGCACGCAGGAGACAGATGTTCTCCAAAGGCTGTTACTGTGACGTAATACTAGCGGTAAAGTAGAAGGCAAAAAGAGGAAATAATTGCAATCTCTTGCCGGAGGCCACCCCTAGCCCTAGTTGTGTGGGGCCGGGATATCAAACTGGACACGGCAAATGTCTCCGGCGGCAATGTACTAAAATTTATAGGGCGGCTGTGACCCTCTGGTTTGCAGTTGTCTGTTACCTGGCGGTAGTCAGAAACTGATCGATTCCAAGTGTTTGGTCGATGGATAGAATCTGCTCAAAAGTATAAACAATCGTAGGATCTTCATCAGCTCGCCTGCAATCCAAGTAGAAATAGCACAGAGGGCGATATTTGACAAAATGACATTCTGTGCTGTGATCTGCCTCTCCGCTAACTCGATCTGAGATTGGAGTCACCACGGACGTACTGTACAAATATCTAGGAGCAACATATGTCGATAAAAAGGGAGCGCCTAGTTATCCCTCGCTCTCACAGCATCGACCTGGCTCTCTCACCTCTCCCGGCTCTCCCAGCATCGAGCCACCTCTCTCGGCTCTCGCAGAATCGACCCACCTCTCTCGGCTCTCCTAGTTTGACTACTTATCCCTCAATTTATGCTGATAATCCCTCATCCTACGAGAATGGAGATTAGAAAGTGGAGACGCTGGAGATGATTGGGCAAGTTGATGGCTGTTGCCGCTACCGCCCCGAACTATGTTTCCGGGACAAGAGCGTCTTGGAATCAGCAGCGTAGCCTGCTCCTCTTCTTCTCGGCTCCGCCCGATCAATTCTACAGCGCCTCCGAATCTCCCCGACCCGACTCACAAAACTCCAAAACCTCCTAATCTTAAGAGGCGACTCGCGAGTCGACCTCTGCAGCAACTTAACCCAACGAGCACCCACACCAGGCAGGGTGAGGGATAATTAACATGACTGAGGGATAACTAGCCTCCCCCATAAACTGTAGATACTGTCAAGACTCACGAGTACTGAAAGAAGCGAGCTGAACATGCCCATCAGACCATGCCTACAAGCCTGTGGTGATGTGTTTCAGGCCTGTAGAAGCTGGGAGGACATGTACTGCATATATTGCACATGTAATCAGTATACTTGAATTACGATCGAAGCCATGCCTCTATTAAGGAGCGAGGAGCATCACACAAATGGCAAAAGCCGAAGCTGTGCATCTAGGACAAAACTGAAAGCTCAAAAGCACTGTCCCGACCGTATTGAAGGACGTAGATTGAGGCTCACGGTTACCGCTCCCAGAGGAAGCAAGCAGACAGGCCTATCTTCCGGTTTCTGTTCCTGTTCTGTGTGAGACCGGAAGATAGGCTTTACATTGATGCTCTTAGATTTTAGCCTTGCTCCTCTAATTCATCATCATCCTCGGCGGGGGGAGGTGGCGGACGACCATCATCATCATCGCTGTCGTCGTTCAGGAGCCAGGATGGCGGAGAGCTGAAATCGAAGACTTGGACCCCGCTCCCGCCATCATCATCATCGCTTCCGTCGTTCAGGAGCGAGGATGGCAGAGAGCTGAAAGCGAAGTTTTGGACCCCGCCCCCGCCACCGCCGTCCTTCGTCCTTGGGTCTTGGCCTTCGTCCTCCTGAATACAAAACCGTGACGTACAGGGGAGCACACGTCAGTTGAACATACGCATAAAAGAGATTTATGAACCAGGATCAACAAATTGCAGACTGACATTAGTAATTGGGCGATGCCGATCGACCAGTTTCTGACGATTCTCTTCGGGATTCTCCATTCTGCGAAGTTCGGTCGTTGAAGAACCGACTTCGATGATACCTTTGCAACGGGAGACTCTCTTCTCTTGTGAAGCTTGGGCTGCGTTGCGGCTCTTACTTCTCAATGGCAAACTTTAGACACGGAGCTTAGGCGCTGCTGTGGCTCTTTTTATTCTGGCTCTCAACCACTCTCACACAACATGTTGTCATCCGAGTCATGTGAGTCATCCGCTGATCAGGCCCACCAGTTAATTAACCACCTAACATGTGTTTACTTTTCTCGTTATCTACGCACGATAACGAGAAAGCTTACGTCATGAGAATTGACTTCAATATTTTAAGCTTAGAATATTAAGCCTCTAGATCAATGGATCTAGATGTGGGAATCAATAGAAGATCCGATTACGAATTTAAGCCTTCCCTTTAAACGAACTGTAATCGCATCGGTAATCTTCGTTTGACTTTAATTTGATGATGATTATGAGAGACCGCGAGTCTCAAAGTTGCTGACACTCAGAGGGGCAGAGTCTGAGTTGTGAGTACCTGACCGACTTGAGCCACAGAGCCTTGACCTTAGCATGGTGTACCGTCTTCATCGTCTAGGATTGCTTCGTACCGAAATATGACGAGAATTCGACGAGAAATATGATGATGTGCAAAGAACGATATTTCTGAAAATTCGCACCTTTTGATCATGGCAAACACATCGACATATGTGCGAGCCGTGCCCTTTGCCTAGTCCCAAGGGCACGGCTAGCTGGGTTCAATTAGTTGGTTTAGCTGGGCCGCATAATTTGTACCGAACAAAGAGCACATGTCCATCAATTTCGTGGTGTAACTAAGACGAGCAACGAGCATCGCAAAAACATTCTTGGTTCACGGGACTGAAACAATCATCCTCACAGATTTCTTTCCAGAAGACAGTCCAGCCCTAGGAGAGGTTTTACGTAGGCATGGTCACGTAGCCGGCTAATTTTCAAATTTAGCAAAGTTACTCGTGTAGTTTTGTTCTGCGCACCCTTGCGGGTAGCGCATGAGTACCCGCAAGGGTGCGCAATAGGCACAGCACAGGATGTCATTTTGTTAAATATCGCCCTGTGTGTTCTTTCCACTTGGATTGCAGGCGAGCTGATGAAGATCCTACCATTGTTCATACTTTTGAGCAGAATCTATCCGTTGATCAAACATTCGGAATCGATCAGTTTCTCACTACCGCCAGGCAGAGCCCAACATTGGGTGCCCATGCCCAAACTCACCCATGCCCATGGGTTTTGGGTGACATTATTTTACCATGGGTGGCACAAGTAGCGCTAAGGGCAGTTTTTGTCAAGATCCATCCAAGAATTTGAGTAGCATGCGTGGGCACAGGTAATGCTATGGGTGGGGTTATGTCGCTGCTGATGTTATGGTCTGGTCTGGGTGAAGATTTGAAGTAAATTGTTGGCCTCTGCCGCGAGGTAACAGAAAACTGCAAATGAATTCCTTATTCGCTAGGGCTGGCCTCCGGCAAGAGGTTGCAATTATTTTACTCTTTTTGCCTTCTCCGGTACCGCTAGCATTTAGTCACAGTAACAGCCTTTGGATAATATCTGTCTCCTGCATGCCGGAATTAGCGTCTTTTCGAGGTCATGATGGAAGGGTGCGCGATAGGCGGCAGGGGTTGTGCGGGTAGGGCATGAGTTTCCGGTCTCGGATAGGGTGCCGGTGAATCGACGGCTAATCCGGTAGCCGGCTAACAAAAAATATTAGCCGTTAGCCGCGCCATGAACATCTCTACTTTTACGTGATCGTCAAGTCATATCATAGAACGTGCACCACCAAGGCCACCGCAACAACCAACCATCGCAACGAATGTTTTGTGCTGGGCACTGTCATCGATGGCAGGTCAAGCCTCAAATTCTTCTAGTGAATTGTGCAGCGATAATCCTCACCAAAGAGCTACGTGTAGCTCTCTGGTGAGATTATCGCTGCGTTATGAACACCCTACAGAATCTGAGCGAGGACTGGACACGCGCACCTCTAGGACTGGACATCCTCCATTGCAGAATATTGTTGCGAAAAGGAAGATGCTGGGGCCTAATTGAAGTCAATTGTAGAGAACCGCGTTGGTTATGATCTTGGATCAGCCTTGACGACTTTGCTGCTAGGAAGAGTCCCACATCGGAAGAAACGTCTCGGAGATTTCAGGAGTGTTAGTAGCCCGAGAGCACCGGAGTTCTTATCTCTCGAGAAGCCGAAATTGAAAAGAATGTTCATGAGTATTCAGATGCGGAGCATTTTATTTGAGCCGTCATTTGAGCAGAGGGAGGGTAGCTAATCGATCTCTAGATCGGGCGTTGTTCCTAGGCTCATATCAGTTGCAATTGCACGCGTTGGGAGCGACGATAGTTAGATACTGCTGCTAGTCGAGCATGAACTAAGAGAATCTTTCCAGCGAAAGAGCACCCTTCATCAGATACGGCTGGCCTGATTGATTTCCCGGACCCTGTTGCCGTAATTGTAACACTTTATTGGGGCTGATGATTCCGACAAAGATTTCCTGACGGCCAGGCGATAGTTAGATAATGCTGCTAGTCGAGCATGAACCAAGAGAATCTTTCCAGCGAAAGAGCACCCTTCATCAAATACGGCTGGTCTGATTGATATCTCGGACCCTCTTGCAGGAATTGTAACACTTTTTTGGGGTTGATGATTCGGACAAATATTTACTTACGGTTGCGGATGTGACGAATTATAAACAAGCATGGTTATAATAATTATTCTACTAAATTAATAAAATATATTTAATTTACTTTGTTAATTAAATGAATTTAGTTCATTCCAAACCTTAATTATCAAAACTCTAATTATTTTATGAGCAAAAATTATATTGCTTGCTAGATTACTTCTAATCCAAAATGTGATAATACTTTGAAAAATAAATATTTTTGGTATTGTAAGATTGGAAAATCAAAAATAATCATTTTAACAAAAAACTTTATAATTACATCAGAATATTCCATCAAATTAAAAAATCGAGAATTAAACAAATTATATTAATATTTCAAAAATATTTAACAAATAATAATAAATAACATTTCATAAATAAATAATAATATTTCATATTTTAAATATGAATCATATTTAAAACTGATTCATATCAATGAGCATAGATTAAAAAAAACCTTTGTGTTCATAATTGATCTTATGAAATAAAAATGCTCCAATCAAAAAGCGTGTTGTTGAATGTTTCTGCTGCAGATAACATAACGCGTTTATGTGGTAGCAGTAGAGAAATGCAATAAAAAAACAATCATTGCATTGTTCTTTCAATCTCGATAAGCACAACTTTCATGTATTCAATAATAAATGGTAATGTAAACAAGAGCAATATCATGTTGTTCAACACTTTAGCAGTTGCTCAAGTGGTGAAATGATGCAAAAAAAAGATGCCATCCACAAAATCCAAGATGGAACGAAAGTTGGTTGCATTGATTCAATTTGAACAAGCAAATGTGTTTGATGGATTTTAAACCAAGTGATAAACTTTTTCGTCAAAAGCCAATGATTAACAACATAATTTACATTTCCGCAATCAAAATTTATTACCATGTTAGATAAATAATAAATCCAATCATCACTAAAAACAATCGTTCTTTGATGACATTATTAAGTATCTACTCCATCTGCATCAAATTCAAATCAAAGAACAATCATTGTGCATCACGTCATCAAGATGAATAATAACATTAGTAAACCAACTTGTCATATTACGGACTCCACCCGTTGTCAAATCAAGAAGATAAATTGTCAAATCTAGAGAGAGAATTGTCAAAAACTTGCACATCATGATGAACATAATCTCACCTGTATAACGATCAAACATCGGAAATGCATAACCATGCAAATTAACAATAGAATTGTAGTTATGAAACAACACCTAAAAATGTATATCAAGAAATGAGGTGTTTTGATGTGTCGCGGAATCAAAAACTAATGAAAATGCCCAAGAATATTGACAATATTTTGTAGATTGGTAACATCGATATTCCAAAACAAATTATTAATTTTGTGACAAGAACACACATAAATCAAGATGAACTAAAATACTATAGTAAAGGTATCTTTCCATGCTTAAACAGTAGAAACAACATTATGTTTTGAATAATTTTTTTAATCGTGATCAAATGTAACACAAAAGCAACATTGATGACCAATTGCTTTTGACAATTTTGGATCTCGTGCATAATTTTCAACCCAAATTCATCATTGTGATCTTTTATGTAAGGCAGGTTTTATGTAAGGCCGTTTTTTTATCATTGTAAGAGAGAAAAAGATTGGGACAATGCAAGAAGAGGAAAAATTTTGGAGTAGTATTCACTTGCAATAATCAACAAGTAACTCCAACCACAAAAATCATCTTGTAATCTCCTATGTAACCTTTCAGCAACAACATAATATATAGAACGTTTAGAACAGACCATCTTTGAGCAGAGAACAAACAAAGAAAGAAACATTTATTAATACACTATGAAGAAAATATAGAATCAAAGTAATGAGTAAAAGAAGTAGAAAAATCCTCAATAGAAGACTAAACTTCTACTACTTACTTCGAAGTGAAGTAGTTGTCAATGATCTTGAAAGATTTTGTGATACAACGTTAATTTTGATACAACTTTTTTGGAACGTCAAGTATTTGGCCACGCAACTCATTTTGGGAGAACGAGATACTGGTGATGGCAGTTCGCGACGATTTCATCATCTATCTGTTGATATTAAGCAAAAATCAAAGAAAGTAGAGAGAGCTTTCAATATTGAAATAAACATTCGATTGTAGCATGTAATATCTATTGTCACAAATCAAACGTTTTGTAATTTGAATCTGACTGTTTGATATTTATATTCCGCAGGATGATCATATTGGGAAAACCCAAGGCTTCACAAAGCTAAATCTAACGCGATCTTTTGACCTCTAACGTAAAGGTATTATGTTTAATGTTTCATCCATGGACGCGGGAGAAACTCTACTCATCCAGGCAGAACACTACACTCAGCACTGATGCATTATTATCCAATGTGTATCGAATCCCTAGAAGATAAAGTGTCAAGGAAAGAAAATCTAACTATCTGAACCCAAACCCGAG